CCTTTAAAGAGTCGAGCAGCAAAAAGGAAAATGTGCACGATGGTAGAGCCAAACACAGAAAAGTAGGAAGAGGATCTATTCCTGATTATCCCAACTCAAGTCTCAAGATAACTTAAAATGGACAGATGCATTATTGACTGAGCCAAGCAATGGAAAGTTCTATAAAATATTGGGTCATGATACTGTTGCTCTTTTATATTGATAGTGCTTGGAATGTTACACATCCCAGGAAAAAGAGTAAAGGGGGCAAAAAGCAAGCACTTTTTTTCAAGTTGTGTACTCCACTAGCTAACACCAGCTCTCATAATAGTTACACACCTAAGGTTGACTAAATTTGACCACATAAGGGGAGGTAGCATCATTTTGTGGGTAAAGCAATGGCTATGAACTCACAAATGGAGGATCCAGTCATGGCTCTACCATTTACTAGTATATGTCCCTGGAAAGAATATTTTAAAATTCCAGTCCTGTTATCTCTAAAAAGGTGATAATATATGTTTCCTGAGAGGTTGGTTCTACAATTAAGTCAGACATATACTAATAATATAGTATATGACATACATTAAATGCTCAGTAAATTATAGCTGTTGCCATTTATTCCCTACATTTAGGAAATAAAGATCCAGGCACTTTCTTATGTATACCACTATTTTTATTATTACTTAATTATGATTCGAGGTATGATTTATTATAAGTATAGCATATTACATAAATCGATTTCTATAAAAATGTAAAAACAGAAAACAGGTTATCAACTAAAAAGTATCAAATTCATTTACTCTAAAAATTTACAAAAGTTTCAAAGTTATCCTATATAGCAGACTTTCCAAAGGCATCTGAGCTGGACAAAATGTAGAGAGAGAGAGATTCCATGGTAAAAAAAAAAAAAAATAGTTGGTAAATTGAGTAGTGAGACTTTTAATACTATCCCAACATTTTCTCCAACTTATCAAGCCTACAAAACTTTTTTCATCTAACATCTATTCACAGTCTTTACAACTGATGGTCCATAGTAGTCTTTTGAAAAATGCAGTCTCATAATACATTTCTAAAATGTTAATAATCTCCTCTTATTTAAAAAAAAAACCCAAGATTTTTATATTTTTATGTTCACAAAAATAAAAAGATTCCTCTGAAGACTAAATAAAAAGCCAACATGACTATAAAAATACAGCCCAGTGCCGGGTGCATTTCTGGTGACCCACAGGTATTCATTTTAGTGTTACGCTATCAACTGACCATACAGAATAGGGATGGAAGGAGGTATGATAAATACATTAAATTTATGGGGCTTTTAAGGGGCTAAATGACAATTAATCCAATGATTCAATTAAATGAGAAATCCAACAGTTTTTTTTTTTTTTTCTTTGAGACAGAGTCTCACTTTGTTGCCCAGGCTACAACAGTGAGTGAGTGCCGTGGCGTCAGTCTAGCTCACAGCAACCTCAAACTCCTGGGCTCAAGCAATCCTCCTGCCTCAGTCTCCCGAGTAGCTGGGACTACAGGAATGTGCCACAATGCCCGGCTAATTTTTTCTATATATATTAGTTGGCCAATTAATTTCTTTCTATTTATAGTAGAAAGGTCTCGCTCTTGCTCAGGCTGGTTTTGAACTCCTGACCTCAAGCGATCCGCTCGCCTCGGCTTCCAAGAGTGCTAGAATTACAGGCGTAAGCCACCTCGCCCGGCCCCGCAATCCAATAGTTTTTATTGTACATCTATTATGTGTCAGCAACTGACATAAGCCCTGAGATAGATAACGAATAAAGAATAAAAAATAAAATTGGGGGGGGGGGAGGAAAGAATAAAAGCCTCTAAAAGATCTGAAAGATTCTGACAAACTAAGATAACTGAGTTTACTACTTATACCCAACTGTAGCTTAAAAAAAAAAAATGGCCTCCACAATGTAATATTTTTGTTTTTCTGTAGTCAAAGAAGCAAAGGTACTTAAAAAGCCAAAAACTTTACGAAGAAGCAGAAATAGAAGTCTTTGTGAATTTAATAAATTTTACTCATTTGAAAATAGTACTGACACTATTCTCATAAAGCCTCATAGGTGGAGGCTTTATGTAAAGTAAGTTCTCACTTTTGTCCAAAAATTGTTTTACTGAGTCACCTGTTTGTTATGTGTGAGTCAGAATAATTATTCTCTTATTCGACTCCTTGCACATAATTATAAATTTAAAGATCTGATTATTAAACAGCAAAGTCTAGATAACCAAAGGATTAGTCAACAAGTATACAGAGACTGTGATATCATAAGCTTCCAACTCTGCTGCATATGATATTCTGAGATGGCAAATTCTGGTATTTTAATTTCTAACAAAGTATCATGAGAAATACCACTTGTGTTTTCCAGAAATTACTTGATCCTAAGTTATTTTACAGCCAGTGTTACTGCTGTCGTAGTATTACACTAAATTTTAGTAAAATATAAAGCACTTGTCAAGAAACAGATACGCTTACAGAGTAACATACCCGGCACTCAGTTTATGTACCATTTGGTGTTATTTGTCCCAACTGGTCTTATTTTCACAAATCTAGTAATATGTTTTCTTCTCCCTACAAGTAAATAGTTTTAATAGTTTTCTTTGTTCAATAAATTTATATTATTATTAATTTAGATACTCCTATCCCTCTGTTATAAGGATATATGAAAAAGGTAAATAAAGGGCCTGTGGTTTAAATTTTATCTCTAAGCTTCCTTAAGTACAGTTTAACTAATAACTCTTATTTTACCTGGAGAAATCATGACTAGAGGAGCTTAATTTCAAGGCCTGTTAATAAAAACTACAATGGAACTTCTCTATAACTACCTTTCCTATTAGTGAAATTAAATATGAGGTGGGTCTTCTTTTGGATCTGATCCAAAGAGACTTAATTCGTGAAGTACCACAAGGACCTCATAAGAGGGGTCTGGGCTCTAAGCACAGTGTCACGACACGCTTCCGACACAGCTATTGCCTTAAAATGTCCCCTTTCATTCATAAGGTGAGATAATTCCTTAACAGTCATTTCATCTAAGAAAATCTCAGATTTAGTTGACAATTTTGTTCACAAAGAAGAACAAAACCAAATTATACTCATGAACCTAAGCATCTAAATATTCTAAATTCATGGCCTGCTATTTATAAATTTACAAAGCCTCAGCGACTTATGCCCATTTTTAAAGTTCAACATCTCATCTTTTTTAGAATACATAAAGGACAATTCCTATACACTAATGAAATAAGCTGCTAGATGCTAACATGTAGAAGTAGACATTTTAAAAACACACCACTATATAAGCTGGCTATATCTATGCACATTCATTTTGCATATTTAAAATATTTGTATGTGTGCACATATATCAATCATGTGAATTAGTGTGACAGCAGAAAACTCCCGACATGGTGATATAGAAGTAGCACTGTGAGAACTCACATTCCTGAGACGGGAGGCTCTGACTTGGTGTGAGGCATAGAAAAGTGTTTCTCAGAAACAGCAGTAGCTGCCTGTGGGATTTCAGCATGACAAACGCATAGCTGACTCATGGGATCAATTATAAAGAAGCAATCATTTTTTTCATGGCACTAAAAAATATTCTGTGTTTTCATCGCTGATTAGTACATATTAAGAAGTCAAAGGAGTTCCACTGATTGTTTTATTACCCAATTGATAGCCAAACCTCTCCCTCCACTCAAACCCACATGTGATTACCTCACTATAGATTCCCGTTCTCAATAACCTTTCTTGTGATCTCTCATTACATTCAACTACAAAAACATTTTTTGAAAACTATTCAAATGTTAAGTTAAAGCTGAATTCTCAAGCTTTAGTTTCTGATTATAAAAATCAGCTGCCCGATATTTCTCAGTGTTAGTGATTTTGCTTTAAAAGATTGGCTGGTCTCGTTTAAAATCTTTTTTAATTACAACAAAAGTGGACGAACAAGCCAGTTGTAATTTACCCTCCCCTCCTCCGAGAACACTATTATACCCTCTAAAAATCGGTTTTCCCTGAAGAGAAAGAGCAACAATTCCCATTTTAAAGCAGTTCTCTATGACGTGCTGTCAAAGCACAAGCAGCGTTTGCAATACTTACTGAGAGCTTCTCCTGCTGGCCCATAACTCCATGGTTAGCTGGGATTGCTAGTGGTTTCATAATGAAGAAACATATGCTGAACTGAATTTACACATCATGTACCAATCTCTCACGATGGCAAGTCACCCTCTACAGTATTAAATTAAAAGAAAAAGGGGAGAAAAAAAAAAAAAGAGGGAGGAGGGAAAACCAAGCTGCAGCTTAAAGTGTCACTACTGGTGAGCTTAAAAAACCCTTCACACTTGTAGACCAGAAAAGGAATCCGAACAACGGTGTCCATCTCCATTTTTATAACACTGAAACTCTAACCATCTCAGGCTATGACAAGACCGAGAAAACCTCATGCAGCTCTCAGTCTTCCAAGGAAACAAGATCATTTCTGAGATTGAAGAACAAGAGGCAAAAGAAAAGGAGGAAAAAAAAAAAAGAAAAAAGCTAAAATGGCTGACTGCACACAGACTCCCCTCTAAAAGGCTTAATACAGATTTATATTAGTCAGGGTGGTTTAAGAACCAGGCGTTAGCATTCAGCCAAGCATTGGTAACACCCTTGTTTCATTTGCAATCACACATACAGACCCCTCCAACCAAGAGAAAAAGAAAGAGAAAGAAAGAAGAAAAAAAAAAAAATCAGGGCAGAGCGTGTGAATCGGGACCTCCTCCCTAGCTGCTAATGATGCTGACAGAGTGGTGACCAGTGATCTCTGTCCCACTCCACTAACCAAGTTTGCACAATTAATCTTAGCAGCATGACACTGATGGACATTTAATTTAATGATGTCTGTCCCTCACACTCAACACAAGCATGCCTGCTAGCAAGAGAGTCACTAACAGAAACACAGCACATGCACACACACAATCTCAAGAATCATGAGTCTGAATGCAATACACCAATATAATTACATTATTGTGCTTACTTTGGAGGACCATGGCTGCAGGCAGTTGGCATAGCAACGCACAAGGAAAGCCATTTCCTGGGTAGAGAGAAAGCTTCCTTTTCTAAATAAAAAATTCCTCTTAGGAAACAAACGGCATTGCTGCTTCCTGCAGAAAGCAAGACACTGTAGTCTGTCTCTTAACCTGCAAGGCTCACACTCAATGCAGTTCTAGTGATGTAAGTGGATTTCTCTCTCACCCTCCCTCTCCCTATATACACTGAAATATTCAGCTCAAATGGTACACACATTCCTTAAGGCTCGCCCCCTCCTCTACTTAACCATTTCAGTCATTAAGGTAGCAATGGACAAATCAGATAAAGTAACAAGCTCTTGCCTGTATTATATCAGCGGCTGTAGGTTAAGCAAGTCTCAGAGGGATGGAATCCATTGATTGCTGACTCCAAATAATATCACTGAAGACAGGGTGGGAAAACGGAGCAAGGACTTACTTGAACAGCTTTGAACTAAAATATGATTTTTCACCAAGGTGAAGATAAAGGAATCTAAGTGACCTCTACCCCACCCTTAGATATTACTGTGCTACAGTAAATAAATATCTATCAAAAATTTATAAAATGCACACTTGATAAGCTTTGTAAAAATTTAGAAGATGTGATTTTCACCAACACCCATACGCACACATACACACACACACACACACACACACACACAGATGCACATACTGCCTTGCAAATAAGGTAAAAATAAACCCAACCAGGTCTTGATTTTTTTTTTTAAATCAACCAAACTTCTAAAGGTAGAGAGTTGAAATTAAATGAGGATACATTATTCTACCATAAACTCTTTATTTCCAAGGTATGTAGGTTATTTGAAAGACTGCATTATAGTGAAGAAAGGATGTTTCAACTCTGAAACACTGGTCAGTTTCTCACAATCAGATCTATAAATGGTACACATACTAGAAAACAGATATTATAGAAAATCTGGCATTTTTAATAAGTGACTTTGGAATTGTCAATACTTGCTAACCTGGGTTCTTTGACTCTGCCTAAGACTGTGCCTAATCTATTCTCTTTCCTTCTTTCTCTTCATATCTAAAAGCTGACCATTCCCTCCCCGTCACTATTTTGGCTCCTTTTCCCTACACACTCCAAACCCTTTCTTAAACTTCTTATATTATCCATTATCTTTGTTCTGCCACATATATTTCACCTCCCTCCCACAGCCAGAGGTCCTCCCTACCAACTTTTAAATGTGCAGGTCTCTCCCATCTCAAAAACAAAACGAAAATATTCCCTCGACCCTATATTTTCCTATAGCTACAGTCTAATCTCTTCTCCCACTTCACAATCAAATCTCTCAAAAACCTGTTTTGGCTTTCACCATTTCCTCATCCCGTACACTACCCAAATGAAAAACCACAGCGATCTTGTTACACAACCTATACATTTAGTTTTCCTTAACACTTTCCTTAACACATGGTCCTTTCTCCATTACCAATGCACACAACATCCATTTATTAAATTCTAATTTTTCTCAAATTTAGATTTCTCTTAATCTCTGATGCTATCATCCCAATCATTAATTTTTGCCTTGAGAACTGCAAAAGTTTCCTTAATAAACTGTCTGGATTCAATTTTAATCCCATTCACCCCACTCATTTACCACACTACTTCCTGAGATCTTTAAAAGCTAAAGTCTGATCATCTTACCCTCATCCACTGACCCCCTTTTACACATTAAAACTCTTCCATAGCTTCCTGCTGCAAGATTATGATAGGGTTTTGGTCTTTATGCCAGGAGCACAGGGAAGCCATGGAACCTGCAAGATTTATACACTTTCCAGACTTACACCATGCTCATGCTCACTCTCTGCACTGCAAATTGCTTAGGCTGCTCTTGCTTCCTTGATGGGCAAAAGGCCCTTGCATAGTTATTTCCTCTGCCTGAAACTTCTTACCTCTGTTTCTTGATGGACTGCCCCCCACTCCCAAAAGTATATTGGTGAAATGCCCTCACTTCTCTTCCCTTAAGCACTTATTTATTAAAGTTGTGATTTTACATTTAGTCATGAAATTACTTAAGCAGCCGGGGTCCTGCTTCCCCCACCACACTCTAATCTCCACGGTGGCTGTGCCATGTCTGTCTGTGTGCGCTGCTGTACTTGCAGCACCTGGCGTGGTGCACGCTGTAGGCACTCACATTTTTGTTGAACGAATGAACTCTCCACTCACTGGGAATGGACACTGGCAAAACGATATCTGATCTTCCAGACTAGTTCCTGTCGAAATTTCAAATACTTTTCTATAACAGACATAATCAATGATTTAAAAGTAACTGTCTCCAAAAGGTAGAAGCAACAAAAGTGTTTGGCAACAGATGAATACACAAACATAATATAGCATATACATATAATGGGACATTATTCAGCCTTAAAAAGGAATAAAATCCATTGCACGCTACAGCATAAATACACCTTGAAGATAACAAGCTAAGTAAAATAAGCCAATCACTGAAGGACAACTACTATATGATATTCTACTTTTTTAGATGTTAGAGTAGTCAAATTCTTGTAGACAGAAAGTTAGAATGTTGGTTGCCAGGTACTGGGGGAAGGACGGGTTGGGGACTTATTGCTTAATAGCTTCAATTTGAGAAGATGAAAAAAAGTTCTGGAAATGGATGGAGATATTGGTAGAAAAACAATAGGAATACAGCTAATGCCATTGAATTGTACACTTAAAAATGGTAAGCTCTAATGTTATGCATAGTTTTATTACAATAAAAAAAGTAAATGGCAACTCAAGGACTAAATAACCAAGTTCTACATCTTCCACCCAGCCCACATCCCACACGTCCATGTGCCAAAAAATTCTTCTCCAAGTCAAATTATTCTCATGCTGATGGTGTCTGACCTTAGATGTGAAGGTTTCCCATTGCTTGCCTCTCTCTGGAAAAGTGTGTCACTTGTCTCAAGAAGGAAACTAACCTAATCGGGGAACCTGACAGATGAGGTAAGAAAATCACACATCCTCAGGCAGTGATGTTTTTCTGTGCTGAGCTGGTGTGATCTCTCTCACAGCCTGGCTCTATGCCTACAACCTACACAGCTTCGTATCTTAAAGCTCATGACTGTAATACGAAAATTTTATAATCCACACTATCTCGTACGTTGAAACACAATTATGCCAGGTTATAATATGCCAAACACTGCTTAAGAAATAAAATACAAACACAAGACTTAGGAGAATCACATATTATAAATTTTCCACAAACAAGAATAAATCACACTTATCCTGATGTAGCCCTATTTGGGTTATATTTACCCTATTCCTTAACCATCTAGACTAGCAAGTAGCATTAAGTAGATTCAGCTAAGAAAAAGGACCACATCACGACTTTATGCCCTGTGTCAAGAACATCCAGTGACTTCTAAATTATTACCAACAATGCTCCAAAAGATGGAAATTACATAGTTCAGGAAACTATGTAATGTAAAGGCTTTCCGTACTGAATTTAATTGTATTCATTTATATTTTGTATTCATTTATATTTTTCCACCTAAAGTATTCACTTTCTAGTTGCCATGAAATTGAGAAAAATGGTTTGTGATTAATCATATTTAGAACTTATAGAATGTTTATCCATAGATCCTAACAACTCTAGGTTTCTAATACCATTCACTTCATTCAATTGTTACGTATTGATTTCTTTCCTCTTCCCTTTACCCCAGAGGAAAAATAATAGAGGTCAGGAAGAACTTACAAGGTATGGCAGGAAGAAGTTATTCTTTGATACCAGGAAACAAGAAATTTTACAAATTTGATTTTTAATGTTTTGTTTTTCCCCAAAGAAATGACATTTAAAATGCTATTTCCTATATGAATACACCATGCCAATTAAGAACTAAGTCCCTGCAAAATAAAGCATGGTAGGTATGGTGAGAAGTTTTACTTCTCTTTTCCTAAACCCAGTACATCCCCCATTAGAACTATACTTTCTTCTAAAAAGAAAAGTTGATTATCTCTTACACCTTAACTCAAACCTTCATTTCTACATCATTTGTTTCATTCTTGGTTATACCTTAGAGGCACACCCCACCCAAAGCAGTCCTACAGAAAATCTGGGCTAGAATTTTATTTCTCCACTTTGACCAAATGAAATGGTACTTCAGCTTCATTATTAAAAATAATTTAATAACACAAAATATGGAAGAAACCAAGGCAATGGCTGACATATAGTAAATGCTGAATAAACATCTGTGTTGGATTTTAAAAGAGGCTTTAGAAAAACTAAGAATCTGTTGTTTGAGCTAATGTCCAGTATCAAAAAAAAAAAAAAAATCATCTAGATACACTTCAGAGATATGCTACAAAGAAATCTTTAGGCTATTTCTCTCTTGAATAAAAAAGTTTCTGACAGCAAACTGTTTAGGTTGTCTCTGACTTGTAATTAGAAAATTAGGCTGAGTGCAGTGGCTCATGCCTATAATCCTAGCACTTTTGGGAGGCTGAAGCAGAAGGATTGCTTGAGGCTTGGAATTTGAGACCAGGCTGAGCAATAGTGACCCTATCTCTACAAAAAAGTAAAAAATTAGCTGGGCATGGTGGCGCATGCCTGTAGTCCCAGCTACTCCACAGAGGCTGAGGCAGGAAGATCACTTGAGCCCAGGAGTTTCAGGTTGCAGTGAGCTATGGTGATGCCACTGCACTCTGGCCCAGGCAACAGAAACCTGTCTCCAACAGAGTAAGACCCTGTCTGTCTCTCAAAAAGAAAGAAAGAAAAGAAAGAAAAGAAAAGAAAAGAAAAGAAAAAGGAGAAGGAGAAGGAAGGCAGGAAAGAGAAAGAAAGAAAGAAAGAAAGAAAGAAAGAAAGAAAGAAAGAAAGAAAGAAAGAAAGAAAGAAAGAAAGAAAGAAAGAAAGAAAGAGAAGAAGGAAGGAAGGAAGGAAGGAAGGAAGGAAGGAAGAAGAAGGAAGGAAGGAAGGAAGGAAGGAAGGAAGGAAGGAAGGAAGGAAGGAAGGAAGGAAAGAAGGAAAGAAGGAAAGAAAGAGAAAGGAAAAGAAAGGAAAAGAAAGGAAAAGAAAAGAAAAGAGAAAATCAATGTAGCAACTATCCATAATAAATATACTTAATATTCATACAAAACATATTAGCAGAGAAAAATTGCAAGATGACATGACATAGAGGCATGCAGAAAAACCAATGAAATAAAGAAGCCTGTAAGTCGGTGGGAAATTCCAACCTGGGGCTTTGAAAAATACGCTTGTTTGAAAAATGGGCAGGCATTAATAGCAGATTTAACAAAGCTGCTTACTTCATTTCTTAGAACTTATTTTTTAAAAAGGCCAGACTTCTTCATCTTAGAATGCTCAAGGTTTCAGAGGTGAAGTCACTGAATACTCGTTGCAAATCATTTTAATGATTTTTCTAGAGACAAGAGCTTCAAATAGGGCTTCCTACTGTAATGTTTCACAAAGCAACACTCAAATGTAAAGGATTAGTATCTGTAGTACTAATTGGGCAGGTAATATATTTCTTGGTGATTAATATGTTTGCATGAGCACAATGAATTGTTAATAACCCCCAATTCTTTTGCTTTTATTTAACAAAAACACATGAAATATTGTATCACAAACTAGACTACAAGTTAGCTGAGGTCTGAAACTATAAAACATTTTATTTATCTGGTAATGGCAACAATAGATTGTTTTATTCCCCAGTATTTGCCATAAGTAATTGTTAAAACAAAGGAGGAATGCATAAGTATAAATATACATGACTATTATGTACCCTTAAGAATCAAAAATTTAAAAATTAAAATTAAAAAAAGTTTTAAAAAAAGAATAAATGTATAAGTGATTTCACTTAAACTTCAAAACCAACCTGTGAAGTATTATTCCACAGTTTTTAAGATAAGGAAACAGACATAGGATGGCTGTGTAATTGTAAAAGATGTTTAACTTTTTTACTGACAAAATCAGGTGTTTTAAATAACTTGATAAGTAAAAAGAATAAGCTACAACCAGTAAATTTATGTCTAACACAGATAAAGACCTACAAGTGTATTATCAAAATGCCAGTTGTACAGGATGGAGGAGATCAGACCTGAGGAACAATTCACAGGGCAGCGGGAGGTAGAAGGGGTTACCTGTGAAACTGAGCTAGCCCAAAGCTCTCTATGATCCAATGCACAATCCCAAAAGCCTTAATAAAATTCTAGGGTACATTATCAGATGTATGATGTCCAGAGCAAGGAAGACAGAAAGTTCTGTTGCAACTTGCATTGTAGAGTACTGCAGGACTTTATGTAAGCAGTGGCAACCAGTAACAAGGAGAAATAATGAGCAACTATAGTATTCAGATGGCAGAAAACCTGGATGATAAGGTGTTTAGGAAAGCTACAAAAAGCCGATGATGCTTAATGCAGAGCAGAGGTTTATAAGAATAAGATCTTTTTAAATAGCTGAAACAGTTATATGAAAATGGAATATTAACATTCATTTGTGTTGCTTTAGAAGAGATCTAGAAACCATGAACTAAAATTATGGAGAGGGAGATTTCAGCTAAACATGAGTTTCTTTTTCTTTTTTAATGTCAATACATTTAAGGGGTACACGTGTTTTCGTGGTTTTTTTTTTGTTGTTGTTACATGGATGAATTATATAGTGGTGAAGTCAGAGCTTTTAGCGTACCCATCACCTAAATGGTATATATTGTACCTGACAGGTAATTTTTGATCCCTCCCCTCCCCTTCCCCTTTCTAAGTCTCCAAAGTCCATTATACTCCTCTGTATGATCATGCATACTCATTGTTTAGCTCCCACTTATAAATGAGTACGCATGGTATTTGGTTTTCTGTTCTGGAGATACTTCACTTAGGATAATGGCCTTCAGTTCCATCTAAGTTGCTGCAAAAGCCATTCTTTTACCCTTCTTCGTAGCTGAGTAGTATTCCACAGTATCCATATACCACATTTTGTTTATCCACTCATTGACTGATGGCACTTGAGTTGATTCCACATCTTTGCAATTGTGAATTGTACTGTAATAAACATACAAGTGCATGTGTCTTTTTTGATATAATGACTTCTTTTCCTTTGGGTAGATACCCAGGAGTGGATTTGCTGGATCAAATGGTAGGTCTACTTTTATTTCTGTAAGGAATCTCTATACCGTTTTCCATAGAGGTTGTAGTAATTTACATTCCTACCAACAATGTATAAATGTTCCCTTTTCACTGCATCTGCACCAATGTCTACTGTTTTTTGACTTTTTAATAATGGCCATTCTGATGGGGATAAGGTAATATCTCATTGTGGTTTTAATCTACATTTTCCTGACAATTAGTGATGTTGGGCATTTTTCCCATGTTTATTGGCCATCTATATATCTTCTTTTGAAAAATGTCTGTTCATGTCTTTTGCCCACTTTTTAATGGGGTTATTTGTTCTATTCTTGCTGACTTGAGTTTCTTATAGATTTTGGATATTAGTCCTTCTTTGGATACAAAGTTTGTGAATATTTTCTCCCATTCTGTAGGCTATTTACTCTGTTGATTATTTCTTTTGCTGTGAAGAAGCACTTTAGTTTAATTAAATCCTATTTATTTACTTTTGTTTTTGTTGTATTTGCATTTAGGGTCTTAGTCACAAATTCTTTGCCACAAAAAGTTTCTTAATAATTAGCCCTTTCTTACAATAAATAACAACTGCTATGATTTACTAAGTTCTTACTTTGTACCAGGCACTGGGACACAAGTTTGACACACGTTAAGTAAAGGACAATCCCCTAAATACCAGCGCGCATTGTAATTTAAAAATCTTAAAGCAGAGGCTTAATGTCAGTGACTATATAGAAAAAATAAACAAACTGCAATAAGTGGTCCAACTGGGAGATTCTTAAAATCTTTTCACATTCTTAAGGTGGTCTTATCTAACATGGCTGTTACCAAACATCAGCTGGTGACAAAATGGCAGTGGAAAGGGTGGTATGATACAGAAGGACAGAAAAAGAAAGACTACATGAATGCAAGTGCATCTACCTTGGGATAAGATTTCCTGGTAGTAACTATCCTTTACTGAAAAGACTTTTGTCATTCTACTTTGGCAGCGAGAGGGAGAATACTAAAAGGCCCTTACTTTTAAAAGAATGATATTGATTATTGGACAACAGTTGGAAGTTTTCTTTACAACATCCATACTTGAAAAATTAAAAGCTGCCAAACTTAAAAGTAGGTCAGGGAAAGGTGATTTCCTTAATTTAAACAGTAAGTTGAATTATTAAAAATCATACACAACTAAGTTAGTAAATTTTACATAGGTTTTTTTAAAACCCTTTCAATTTACTTAATATAATTTTTCAATGTTCTTAAATATTACCAAAATGTTTCCAATATTTTCTGGTTCAGAAGCTAGCAATTTAATGAGTGGCATGTTTTCATCTCTAAATACTATGACTAATTTTAGACAACTGTAAGTTGTTTTCAGTTCATTAAAGAGTCATACCTATAAAAAGACCTTTCAGCAAGATTTTGGCTTTTCTTATTATAAGTGGGCCAAATACACTAATTACACAGTCATCTCTTTGTTATAAAATGGTACTACTTAACAGTGAAAAGTGAAAACGGTACTACTTGACAGTGAAATTCCTGTATTGGAATGAAACTAGAAAGGTTTAAAAGGAAAAGGAAAAAAAAAAAAAAGCTGTGCTTTATTGATAAGAGCTACATGGTCCAAAAAGGGAAAATACTTGCAACAAGAGACTGATGAATCAACCAAAGTATATCACTGCTGCAAATATAACTCAGGAATCCTTTCTACACACTGGACATTCTATGCTCCAGACTATTTCTTTAAAAGATACTTAAGCAGTAGGTATCTGTAGTGGTTAAATTATTTGATACATATCTCCTTTGCATCGAATTTCAAGATTAAATAACATAAAAAGCAATATATGTTACATTCATTTTTAAAAAGCAATAATTTCCTGGATTGGGAATGGAAAAGATCTATGTCCATATTTGACTCCAACACTAACATTCACTATCTGAGTGCTTCTTCCCCAACCAGGAAATACCATCACCTAGTGTTCAGAACTGCAGGTTGGTTTAATTGGACAAAGCATATGAGAAAACACCTAGCAGATTCGTACACTACAAACATTCAATAAGGGTCAAAATTTACACCTTCCAAAATATTCCAAAAGTCAGTTGCAACAAGATTTGGCCAGCCCATTAATTAATCTTGTATAGATGGTTGGGACTAATATCTTTGTGCTTATATCCTTGTACAGAATTATTAATGCAGGTAGATCTGTAATGCCACTCCCAGAAACACTATTGTATAATACTAATTCTGTGAGTCTGATCCACAGACATCAACATATAACCATGACGATGCACAGACCTATATTATCTGTTGTGCAGAGGATATAAAATGGCATAAAGATACTATGTGCTTTCAAAAGACCCTATTGACTCTTGAGTCTTGCTCTGTAACCCCGGCTAGAGTACAGTGGCATGTCACTGCAAGTGCGTG